TCTTTCTTTTTCTTTCTCTCCTTTTTTTTCTGTCCTTTTTTCTTCTTTTTTCTTTTCTTTCTCTTCTGTCTCTCTTTTTTCTCTTCTTCCTTCTTTCCTTCTTTCTTTCCTTCCTTCCTTCTTTCTCCCTCTCTCCCTCCTTCATTCTTCTTCCTCTTTTCTCTTTCTCTCTTTCTCTTTTCTTCTTTGGTTCTCTTCCTTCTTTCCTTCTTCCTTCCTTCCTTTTCTTTCTTCTTCCTTTCTCTGTCTCTCTCTTTCTCTCCCTCTTTCTCTCTTTCCTTCTTTTTTTCTTTCTCTTTCTTCTTTGTCTTCTTTCTTTCTCTTTCTTTCCTTCTTTCCTTCCTTCCTTCCTTCTTTTCTCTCTTCTTTCTCTCATTCTTTTCTTTCTCTCCCTCTTTCTTTCGCTCTCCCTCCTCCAATGCCGTTGTAACTTTGAATGGTCACTAAACAAAGCAGTTGTAGAGCGAGGGTTACCTGTATTTTGAGGAAAGCTCTCTCTCTCTCTCTCTCTCTCTCTCTCTCTCTCTCTCTCTCTCTCTCCGAACAGCCTGTGCAAAATATTGTCTTACCTTATGGCCAACAACGTTGGGACAGGTATTTGCACCTTCTCACATCCCCCTCCAGAAAGAGCCTTTGGAAAGACAGACAGACAGACAGACAGACAGACAGACAGACACACACACACACACACACACACACACACACACACACACACACCTGGGCCTGGATCTCACTCTGCCCTGCCCTAAACCTGCAGCCACAAAGGCAGAATTTTGCTGTTGTTTTGCGAAGTCTTTGGGGGGGGGGGAGAAAGCTTTCAATGAGTTTCTTTGTTGCTTCCTCAGTTTTGGGTTGTGGCTCCTGCGACAACAGGGCCCCTTTTCATTCCGCCGGCAGGCAGGGAGGGAGGGAAGGCGTCTTGGCAGGCGTCCATCAAGGCTGGCAAGGAAACCAAGTTGGACGGAAGGAGGGGACCAACAGAGACACTCAAGGAAGTTGCAGCAATCCGGAAGGCACCAATGAGAGGGACGCAGTTTGGTTGGGGGGCTGCAGGGATCCCCCCAGTAAGTCCCATCCTCTCCGCAGAAGGTATGGCTTGGATCTCTAGGAGTTGCCTTGGTTTTCTTCCACTCTTCCAAGGACGGGGTGGCCCTTCCTTCCTTTTTTTCTTTCTTTCCTTCCTTCCTTCCTTCCTTCCTTCTTTTTCCTTCCTATTTTTCCTTCCTTCCTTCCTTTTTCCTTCCTTCCTTCCTTCCTTCCTTCCTTCCTTCCTTCCTTCCTTCCTTCC